TCCAACCACAGTGGGATAAAAATCCACAAACACTTGAGTGGCCTAGAATAGTCGCTTGTGGTACCCATCCTTGAACAATTATCCCTCTATCTTGCACTCTCTCAAGAAACCATCAGGTAGAATCTCTTCAAGCCTTCTTTCCTCACCTTTTGGACATCTTAAAGCCCAGATGAAATTTGCTTGGCTTAGCTCCAACCTGAAAGCAATCTCTTCTATCTCTTCCTCGGACAAGAAATACATACTGCCAAAGGAAGCAAAAATAGTCAGATGTTCAATATCCTCCTCACCTAATTCAGTAGTAGAATTAGGAGTAGTAGGAGTTAATGGACCAATTGGGAGAACCATCAGGTTGTTGAAACTAACAAGATGATCCACGTACTTCCCTTCTATCGCTCTGCAGGTATTAACTCACAAAGGTAAAGAAGAACCTTCACCAACATTCAGTGATATATGTCCCACTGCAGCATGTACTTTCTTTAGGTCAAAATCGAAGATAGATGGCTGGAAATGGATATTCAGAGCCTGAGTTGAATACATTGTGAAATGAATATGACAAGGTTACTGCTCTAAAAACATGCACGGAACCAAACCGATGGAAAATGGAACACAGGAGTTACTGAATACTAAGCGAATGCATGATCGTAGATCACGAAGTCTGGCTTGAGAGATTCTACGATGTTGTGTATTTCAGGATTGGACAATTTCAGGGAGTAAAACAAGATGGGACAAAACTTGACAGGTGTCGAGCCTGTAAAATAATAAAGACCTACTCAACAAAAATATAAATTTGCATACAACGGTAAGTAGGGTCGATTCCAGAGGGACTGGAAAAAATTTGCTCTTTCTCAAGTTAAAACAAAATGGGGGAAATTTCAAGATTTAACGACTAATGGAATATCACCAAGGCAATGAAACATGCAAAAGAAATTAGGAAAGACAATTAATGGGAAAATCTCTAACCAAGGTTACACTTCAAAGATGGTTCAAGTAACTGATCATTGATGCAGTTATAATTCCAATATTCATTAATAAACAGGTTTTTAACTGTCGATACGATCTGATAGTCAGTTTCTCCTTACTGTTTCGATAATCAAGGTACGACCATTTACTATTTTCCTAATTTAGAAATAACCCTAGGTATGACTATAGGATTTAATTTCTCAATTGTATTAAAAACTAGAGAAACTCTGTTCTAATCAATAAACATGCTACGATGGCTAATTTAAATTAGATTGTATGTTTTTCAGACACAAATCCAATTATGCCAGTTGCTACCAGAATTAGAACAGTTAAACAATTACGGATTCAACTATTCCAATTAGTAAATAGATTACGTGTATAATTAAATATTGCGCACCTATTTAATCACACACAATAATCATACTCTATAAAGCAGAAAACGTACAAATATCAAAGAATAGAGGAAATAAATAAAATCAATTCGATCTCACAGTGATAATTGAACCAAATTCTTGGTGTTTCTTGACTAGAAATATGAAATTAGTTCTCCATTAAGGGAGAACAAGCCCTATCAAACGATAATCTGTTGGGAACTTGCAATTGTCTTCTTCTAAAAATTGGTTAAAAGGAAAAACAAGAACAAGAGCACTAATGTTCTGGTCCTAGCACAAGAGAATGTCCAACGAATTCTACTTGGCTCACTTTCTTAATTAATTGGTTTCCTAATACCAATCAAATTCCTAAAAAAGGTCCTATTACAATTTAGTTTCCTAAAGGCTTTCCCAATTGTTCAAGGTTGTCGCAGGGTGCAAGGAAAATAGAAAACTTCAGCATCATCAAGCTTTGGAATTTGACTTGGATTGGAAACTGTCCGACATTAGGAAACTACCAATTTCGGGTTTCGAACCTTTGAACTTCGGCGCCCCACGTGCAAATCGTTAGGAATCCTCCATTTAAGCCTTTTTCGCTCCAATTTCTGAAATTAACACAAGAATACCAATTGTGGGTAAAACCAGTCAAATAGGGTGATATCTAGTGTAAATAAAAAGAAAAATATAAGCAAATATACCAACTAAATGTACCCTATCAGAAGGAGAGGAGCCAGGAGCTCGTTGGTTGTGTGGTAGTGAGAAGGAAGTTCAGGCAGTTCTGGAAGATGAAATTTTACAAGTTCAATAGATTCAGTGTACTTGATAGATATTTAATTTCTTGGAGATGGGTTTAAGATTGATCAATGTAGAACAAAGATAAATGTGAATGGCTCTATCAATGAGTTTGTCCAGAAGAAACACCTCGAGAGAGTCCATCAAAGAGCCTAATATGTAAGTCACGAATCTAATTTTGATCCAATATTTTAAGCTATTAGGTTTTGGACGCTTACTTATATACTAGGCTTGGTGCCCCGCGGGGTTCCGCGGGGTGCCCATTATTAACTGCCTTAAGCTAATGTAAGATTTATTTAATAACATAAATTTAGAGTATTTTATATGATAATGGAGTTGGAATAGTGGATAAAGAAGTGATATATTGGATTGATTTATTTATAAATAGATATAGTAAAATTGATATGATTTGTATTGTGTTTTTTAAAATTAATATGATCTAAAGATTTGATGGATAATATTGGTTTCAAAAAATTTTGTTTTTTAATTTCAATTTAGTGATAAGTAAATATTATTTAAATTAATGGAATATATATTAATTTTTTAAAGTTCATATGATGGAAAATTAGGTGGAGAATTACATTGAGAGTGTTATAATTTATTGTACTTTGGGCATAGGTAGTTTATGTATTTTAGGATGATGATATTTTCATAAATTGGATAGCTAGGATGAGAAAGTGTGCATTGTTGCAGTGGAAAAGTCTATGGAAAGGATATAAAAGAATAGGAAGTTTGTTAAAAAATAAATGGATAATAGATATTTTTTTGGCCAAATTTGATATAGTTTGGGTGTTGTGTGATGAGATAAATTAATAATTTGGAATAATTTGATACTATATCTTGGTAAAATATGTTTTATTCATTAAGTAGGTTTTTTCGATAAGTAAAGATGATATTGATTTAGTTATGAATGAATGTGATTGAAATATATGGAAGCTGTATTTTTTTAATTAATAGAATCTGAATAGGTAAAGGATAATATTAATTTTGAGAGCTGAGAGATTTTATATTAATAGTTTAGTAATAAATGGATATTATTGAAAGTAAGGTGATGTGTAAAAAATTTTTTTTATAAGAAATAGAAATGATTGCACATGAAAATTATAGAGTCTAATCATTGTAATTTATAGTAGAATTTTTAAATATTTATTGTTTGATGTTTATGCGACTTATTTTATGGTACTCAAAGTTGTAGTGAATTTTGTATTAATATATATATAGGTATACGATATATTTTGTAATATGTGTGCATATATATATATATGCGCGTGTGTGTTTAGTATTTTATTTAGGAGATATGATGGTTTAATTTTTTATCGTTTATATTTTTTGTGGTTTTGTTTGTTTATTATATTTTTATTATTTATTTATTTATATATGTGTAGATATATATGTGTGTGTGTGTGTGTGTGTATGTATATTTAATATTTTATTTGAGTTTGTATGATTGTTTAATATTGTTTTAGCGTGTCTATCTTTTCTAGTTTTGTTTGTTTGTTATATTTGTGGTATTCCTATTTGTCTTGTGATTCATGTGTCAATATGATAATTTTTTTTTTAGTTGCATCATGTATATTTTTGCTATATATATAGGGGTGCGGTTTTTAAGTATTTGTGTATAAATTTCTGGTAGTTTGGTTATCTTTGTTATAGTTTTAGAGAAAAGTTTGTCTTTTTTATTTTGGTTTTCAGTGGTATATTTTTTAATTTTGAAATATTATCGAAGTAACATTTTTGAAATAGAGGGAAATTATCCTGTATTTTTTAAAACAATTAGTCGTATTAATGCAAGCAAATACAAAGCGGCACAATTGATTTATATTTATTAGATGCACACAAAATTTAATATTTGCATTAATTTTTTTGAAAATTAATAAGATTCCAAAATCTAAAGATAACACAATTTCGAAGAGTCCGTTATTTCATTGATATCGAAAATTAATAATGCTTGATTGAATAGCATACATGAATAAATATCTATTTAATGATGAAGTAATTTATTTATTAATTAATCAATATCTTACTTTAAATCAACGAATAGCACATGGACTTATGCGTAAGTGAAATTTAAATTACAATTAGCTGACTCGAATAACACTCATTATCTGTTAATATGAAGTACCATAGCGTAACACATAGAATTTGTATTGTTCTGTATATATTAGATGCACACAGAATTTTTATCGATTCGCATATTTTTTAGAAAATCAATATCTTTGTTAATATATATATTTTGGGGAAAGTTAATAAATATAAAAGAGCAGAGAGAATTATATTTTGAAGAAAGACACGTTAATACAAAGTTAGGAAATTGAGATTTTTGTGAGAATTATATTTTGAAAGGAAGTTATATGTTGAACGAAGTTAATAAATGAAATCGATAAATTAATATTTTTGTTAATAAAGTCAGATAACAATTGCAGCAGTGGAAGATGCGCAAGAAAAAAAGGACGAAATCGATTGCAAAATTAAGGGCCTGTTTGGAAGCCAGTTTTTTGGGCAAGTTTTTTACCTACTAGTTTTTTAACAATTTTTGTTACAGGAATCCCAAAAAACTTCTCAAAATTTTTTATCTACACACTTCAACATACCCAAAACATACCATAAAAAATTCCCTTCCCTTTTTTCCTTCTTCCTCCCCCATCCCAACCCACCACCACCGCCGTTTCGTCCCCCACTCCGCGCTTGCAAATAATCTGGGTCGCGAGCCTGGACTGCGTCTGGTGCGCTGTGGAGCAAAGAAAAGGCTGAGCCTGGGCTGCCAGAGCGTCTGGTGCGGCTGGGCTGCAGGGGAAGGGCGGAGGGGAGGAGAAGGGGAAAGGGAGGACGGAGGGGTGGCGGGGGAAAGGGAGGGCAGAGGGGTGGCGGGGTAGGGCAATGGGCGGGGGAAGGGGGAAAGGGAGGGCTGAGGGTGACGGGGAAGGGCAGTGGGCAGGGGGCGGGGAAAGGGAGGCAGAGGGATGGCGGGGGTGGGCAGTGGGCGGGGAAGAGGAAAGGGAGGCAGAGAAGTGGTGGGGGAAAGGGGGGGGGGCGGGGGGCGGGGGAAGAGGGAGGGCTGAGGGTGACGGGGAAGGCAGTGGCAGCGGGCGGGGAAAGGGAGGGCAGAGGGGTGGCGGGGGTGGGCAGTGGGCAGGGGAAGAGGGAAAGAGAGGGCAGAGGGGTGACGAGGAAGGGCAGTGGGCAGGGGGTGGGGAAGAGGGAGGGCTGAGGGGTGATGGGGAAGGGCAGTGGGCGGGGGGCGGGGGAAGGGGGAAAGGGAGTTGCTGCTGAGAGGTAACGGGGAAGGGGAAGAGGTAAGGAAGAAGAAGAAGAAGAGAGGAAAGAAAAGAAAAAGGAAAGAAAGAAAAAGAAAAAGGAAGAGAAAAAGAAAAAGAAAGAAAAAAAAGAAAAGGAAAAAAAAGTTTTTCATCTTACAAAAACTTCTATAAAATTTTTCACCTAACAAAAACTTCAACAAAAAAACTTTTCACCTTACAAAAACTTTTACAAAATTTTTTTAAAAACTTCTACAGTACACTACAGTAAAGTTTTAGAAAAACTCTCAAAAAACTCAGGTTCCAAATAGGCCCTAAGTTAGACAACAATTGCAGCAGTTGAAGATGTAGAAGAAACAAAAGGACAAAATTGGCCACAAAATTACAAAGAAACCAGGACAAGGGCACAATCGGAAGAAGGGAACAAAAGCAGAAATGAGGAAAAGCGCACCAGGAAGCAAAGCCGTTTCATGGAGCCTGCCAAAAGACCAAAAAGGACGAAATGAGCCGCAAAATCACAGCGAAACCGGCACAATCAACTGTAGATGAAGCTTCCGCGCTTTATGTAGTTTAGGATTAACCACTCTTTCTTCATCTCTCGATTTTCCTCTTTATGAGTAACTCCTCACATTAAACCCAAGTTTACAACCTTTTCTTTGAACCTACTTTAATATGAATATAACAAATCCCCCTTTTTATGAGTAACCTCTCACATTATACCCAAGTTTACAAGCTCTTCTTCGAACTCACTTTAATATTCAATAGAAACCCATCTTAACACCTAGATTGCCTTTTTTTTTCCAATCATGGATCCACTCTTGTTCTGGATCCCTGCCAACCCTTAACTCTTTGGTATAACACCAACTAGACCTCCTACCAAACTCATAGTGCAACTGGTCCAACACCAACCAAACTCTTTGACACTTCAATTCACCATCAAGAAGAGAATTTTTACTAGTCCAACTCCGAGAAGAATCTACTTACCTATGAGTAGTTTAGTCTCACAATTAAACTCTGATATCAATTGTTAGGGAGAAACACCTCGAGAGAGCCCAATATGTAAGTCAGAACCCAATTTTGACCAAAAAATTTAAACTGTTAGGTTTCGGGTATTTACTTACATATTAATCGCTCTTTCTCCATCTCTCGAACCAATATGAGACATAATCCTTTACATATGAAATTAACAAAAACAAATGTGAATGCCCCTATCAATGAGTTTCTTGGTTAGATCCACAAATGGAGATATGTGACCATGTGCCAGTATTGGTAACATGAGAATTCTCGGAGAAGTATTACTAACATTTTCTGTACTGTTAACCTCCATGACCATGGATTGCATAGAAAGCTTATTTCTGTAATTTAACTGAATAATTCCATTTTGTTTGTGTAAAGAAATGAGCTCCTTTGGGGGTGATTAAATAGGGATTCTTTTCACAAATACAATACAAAACTAAAATTGGAAAGCAATGGAATTCATCAAATTGAACAACTTGCGTAGAATTTTATGGCTAGTTGTAAGCAAGACGGGGAGTCTAGGGATCACAATATATCTGAGCTTATTAGTTACAGAATTGTTGAAACGGGTATGTATTGACCTATGAAAATAGGTAAGTATTAATTAACCTATGGAATGATTCCAAAAGAAAAAATTAAGGTAAATTACATATAATTCCTTTGTGATTTCATCTATTACCACATGACCTCTTTAACGTTTCAAAATGTCCATTTCACCCCTCTATAATTTTATGCAAAGTGAAATTTTGATGAAAAATAGTCTATGTAACGCTGTTAGTTAAAATATCAATAGTACCCTTACTTAAATATTAAATCAATAGATGGCTTAACCACCTTGTATAAAAGCATAGAGAGATTACATGGATAAATGCAAAAGTCATAAAGGAATAAAGTGAATATTTATACAAATCGTAAGGGAGTCACATGAATATTAAGATTTTATCACACAAATTTTTAAAGTGCATTTGATATAAACATCGTAACTGATTGTGTTTTTCATCCATTTTTCACTTTACATAAAATCATAGGGGGTTAAGTGGCTATTTTAAAACTTTAGGGGGGTCATTTAGTATTATATAAAACTATAGCGGGTAATAAGTAATTTATCCAAAAAAATTAACCTATGGAAACATATATGCTGAAATGGGAGAGAGACAAGAATGGTGCCTCTGTTTGCATGAGTTAAAGTGCAACGTGAATTGTTTGTTAACTGCGTAACAGAGGCACGATGTTCCATCTTTATTCAGGTGGGCTCCGACGGTTTAATTGTGAGTCGGTTGTAAAGTTGTACAATTAAATAAATGAGTAAGTTTTTTATATAATATCAGCGTATAATTTTGTTTACACTAATAGATTTAAATCATACTATATGACATGAATTTAAATTTGAAATTCAATTCATATACATGTGTTGTATATCCATAGCTGTTATTATATTAAAAAAAATCACTATACTATCAGTGCATAAAAATTTTATCCAAAATAAATTGTATCTTTTCTATTTTATTTTGTTTATTGTTTTAGCAAGAAAGGGGTGATATTTAAGAAACAAGGAGGGGGAAACTTTTTTTTTTTTGGGAGTGGGAGCGGGGTGGAAGGGAATTTAAATCCACCTTATTTAATTGAAATTATACAGTTAAGAAATTGTGGTACTGATAATAGTTCTTAGGCCCCGTTTGGAGTTGCGGTACTTTTGGTAAAAAAACACTTGTACTTTTAAAGTATTTGGTGAATATCATCCCATAAAATTAGGAATAGAATTTTTGGTGCTAAAAACACTTTTAGGAAAACCTCAAATTTGGCGCTTTTAGAGTATCTTTTGTGATTAAATAAATAAAACCTTAAATATAATCATTTTATTATATTATGAACCAAATAAAGAGATAAATACTTTTAGAAATTTTTAAATTACATATTATCCAATATGATAAGTACTTCTTAAACTATATCTCCAAAAAAATATATTTAAAAACACTTAAACAATTAATAAGTATTTTTATTTAAAACTCTACTAGAGAAGTACATTTCAATAACTTACTACAACCCCAAACGGGCCTTTAGTCTTTCTCACATTAAAACATACTGGTCTTTTTAAAAGAGTAACCAATTACATGTAACGAAAATAAAATGGAACCTAATTACTCCAATAAGATTATGATAATAAATGCAGAATAAATAAATAAAGTATGTGTATATGTGGTCAGTCTAATGGGCACGCGTTAAGATATATTTCAGGTGTTAGATTTTTGAAAAGGTAAGATTAATTAGGAAAATGTATAAATACAACAGAAAGTAATAATTGTTAACATGTGCACATAAATGGCAAGTTGGTGAAATTTAGATATATTAACAAATGCCCAATAAATCATATACATATATATATATGTATGTATGTATAAATCTATAAAGAATTTTATCTATATTTAAGCAAACCATGCAACTCTTTTTATCAATGGATGTGAAGTCACTTCTTGTAACTTATCCTAAGTAATTGAATTCACTACTTTCCTTTTGCTTTTAACATTTTACACGTTATTAGTTAAAATCTTCACCATAATCCAGTTCTTCATTACGTGTCCTATTTAAGACCCGATTTATATTGAAATTCATCGCACAATAAACGAAAGTAAGACTACGAGTATCTAATGGTTTATGCACTCAAAATTGAAAAAGTTAAGCAGAAAGTAGGAAAAAGCGCACCATTACTATCAAATGCATTATCCACTAATAAAGATCTGAACAATGTATGTGAACCCTCATTTAATTTGGTGCATCTGTATACTTACTCTTAATTACCTATGATAGAACATATAATGGGTGTTGTTGTAGTATTTCTTACAATACTTGGTGTAAACGTACATAAACTGTTGTATTCATTAAAATATTTGGTGTAGATAAACAAGATTCACACTTTTGGCAAAGGAAATAAAAAGCAGCAAAACTCAAATAAACATCAAGATAACAAAAACAAAGACCAAAAATTCCATAATTACAATACTTGCTCCGATTCCCTAGTGGATATACGTGACAAAATCCTGGAAACGAGCTAAAGGAAACGTTTGTGAAATGTCAAGTTTTAACTCCTATGTCTTGTTGGACGGGCTATGCTCGTGCAATATTGGCATCATTACCATAATTTTTCTAGGAAGTCCGTCCTAGCATTATGATGACCTGAACTTTTCTTGGATAGTTGAGCAACCTGTAAGTTTTCTTTTTCACTTGATTTAATCTGTTTCCTTAGATCTTTCATTTTCTGCCTCAAGGGTTCCCCTGCACATCCAGTTACCACATTGTTGATCGCTTTTGCTATCTCTTCCCTCTTAAGTCTACCATTTTCATCTCTTGTGATTTCAATAGCTACACTATTTTCCACCAACACCCTACCATTGATAGGCTGTTCAAAAGCCATAGGCATGGCTATAATGGGGACACCAAATTCTATACCTTCTGATAAAGAATTCCAGCCACAGTGGGATAAAAAACCACCCAAGACTCGGATGGCCTAGAATCATTGCTTGTCGTACCCCTCCTTGAACAATTCTCCCTCTATCTTGCACTCTTTCAAGAAAACGCTCTGGTAAGATCTGTTCAAGCTTTCTTTCCTCACCTGGAGGAGATCTTAAAGCCCAGATAAAGTTTTCATGGCTCAGCTCCAACCCGAAAGCAATCTCTTCTATCTCTTCCTCTGACAAGAAATACATAGTGCCAAAGGAAGCAAAAACAGTTGAATGTTCATTTTCTGCCCAAGCCAATTGATGAGCTCAATATCCTCCTCACCTAATTCAGCAGCAGCATTAGGACTAGTGGGAATTAATGGACCAACAGGGAGAACCTTCAGGTTGGTGATACTAGCAAGATGATCCAAGTATTTCCCTTCCATGGCTCTGCTAGTATTAACCAGCAAAGGTAAGGAAGAGCCTTCACCAACATCCAGTGATTTATGTCCTATCGCAGCAAGAAGTTTTTGTAGCTCAAAATCTCGAAGACTAGTGGCCGGAAATGGATATTCAGAGCCCGGTTTGAGTGCCAAATGAAATGCGTATGACAAGGCTGCTACGCTAACAATATGTAACCAAACTGATGGAATATGGTGCAAAGGAGTTATCGAAAACCAAGTGAGTGCTTGATCGTAGATCACCATGTCTGGATTGAGGGCTTTAATGGTTTTGTGGATTTCAGGAATGGACAATGCAAGGGACTTGTATAAAATAGGAAGTAGATGTTTTGCGAGGCCATCAGTTGTGTGGTAACGAGAAGGAAGTTGTGGCAAATCTGGAAGATGAAATTCTACAAGCTGAATGGATTTAGAGTACTTGCCTGTGATTTTCTTGGAGATGGAGTTGAGATCATGGTTCGAAGTCTCGGCCGAGACCGAGACGACTCGGCCGAGTCGTCACCGTCTCGGTCCCTACCGATACAATACCGTGACGAAACGATACCGAAATACTTGACTCGCCGAGAAATCGGCCGAGTCGTCTCCGTGACGGATTAACTCGGCGAGTCACACCGAGTCACTCCGAGTTATCCCGAGTCAAGACGAGAAATTAGCCGAATCACACCGTGACAGATTGACTTGGCCGTTTCTTTTACTATTTTTTAATTATTTTTATTTAGCATACTTTTTTATATTATTAACAATTTTTAGAATATTAAATACTTTAAAATTTGCGTCTCACCAAGACCGCGACCGATATGCCGAGACCGATGTGGAACGTTCCAGACCGCGACCACAACCGCGACCGTGACTTTGAACCATGGTTGAGATTGATAGATGTAGAACAAAGATAAATGTGAAAGCCTCTCTCAGTGAGTTTCTTAGCTAGCTCCAAGAATGGAGATATGTGACCATGCCCCAACATGGGTAGCATGAGAACCCTTAGAGAAGTCCTACTAACATTTTCTGTACTATTTGCATCCATGACCATGGATTTGATTGCAGGGAAAGCTTATCTCTGTAATTTCACTGTATACTTCCCTTCTGTCCGTATGGAGAAATGACCTCTTTTGGGGTTTGATTAAATAGGAATTCGTTTCACAAATACAATATAAAACTTGAACAACTTGGGCAGAATTATGTAGCTTGTTGTAAGCAACATGGGAACCTAGCTTGGTGGGTACTCAGCAGGAGAGTTGGGAACTGGTCAGTAGTTGTACGGGATTACAGTCTATCTACTCTTGTTAAAGAATATAGGTTTTTGCACAAAAAAACAAAGCAGATAGGTTTTTCCTTCTATTTGGAAGGAATAATTTAGAGGGTAATATGGTAGTGTTTTCAATATTAAATGGCTTGTTGCTGTGGGAAAAATTTCGAGTAGACATAGTCTTTGTTAGTTGTGAATTACCGGTAATTTGTTCTTGGTGCATTATACAACTTTCCCTATTTTGGTTTTCAAGAAGTTCACTTATTATTATTTTTTTTAATCTACAATTACACTCTCTCATCGTCAACTTTAGGTTGACTTTTGTGTTTGATTTTAACCTTAAGAGTCAGTTATACTAAAACATATTTGTGAACTTCATCATTTGATAAATGACAAATTCTTAATATATTAAATAGTTGACTTTATAAAATGTATAGAACGCCACCAATATTTGCCAAATAGATAAGTGATAAGATTGACTATTACAAAACAACTTGATGCATGCATGCTAGGAATGTGGCTTCAAACCAAATACCTAAATTAGCACTTATCATTGAACAAAAATATAATCGGTTGGGATTCTCTATGCCAAATTTAGTGTCAATTCCACTTATTATGTGAGGGTAGCGAAAATTTAAATAAACAGTATATGACAATTTAAATAAACAGGACACTTGACATAAATATAGAAGTGGCATTGAGTTATCAATGAAAAGTGGCATCGAGGATCCCATGTAAAATATAATTATTCTCGCCAATCTTTTGTATTGCAAGCTATGTCAATTGGCCATAATTCACGGGCCTCCTTATAACACTACAACCAGGAATACGAGCATTTGATTTGAGAAGCTACTCATTCTGTACCATGAACCCTCTCCTTTGTGACTGTTGTGTGTGTATGTGTTAGAGAAGAACTACCAACATTTTATGTATTATTACTTATTAGGATCCATGACCATGGATACCATGGAAAGCTCATGGTCTGCAATTTAACTAAAAATTTAACTTTTTTTTTTACAGAAATATCGGCTCTTTTGTGTATAATAACCAGGACCAATATATGTCCAAAAACTGGCCTTTTATTATTATTATCATATTTCTATTGGTCACTCATTAAGATATATTTCAATAATCATATTTTTAAAAATATAAAATTAATTAGGAAAAGTAAATAAATGCACGGGACGTAGGTAAGATTAAATAGAAAAAGTATATAAATGCAAGAAGAGCAATAATTATTAGTATGTGTATATACATGATAGGTTAAATGAATTTTAAGTGTATCAATGAGTGCTCAATGGATATCCGTTAAAAAAATCCAATAATAAGCGTTGATTATTATAGTTTTTGTGTTTATAGTTCAAATGACTCATCTCACCATTCCATGTATTATTTCAGTTTTTGCAGGTTTGGTTTGTATTGAATTATTAACATGTATTCCTTAAACTAGTTCATCATGTCCAGTAGAACTTTTTATTTCCATGAAGAAAAGGTCCCCTTTGACATTAATTGTTGGTATGTTTTCAATTAATATACCATTTTGTGTTAGGAAGGTCTGATTGGTATTCAATTACTAATTTAACTATATATATATATATATATATATATCTTCCTTACAGTCCACCAAAGTCACTGTCATGACGTTCTAAGTCCTTGGACATTTAAATTTTCCCAATTTGTAATCCAGGCTGGTGATACCTATTCTTTGCGTGGAAATTGACCTTTATATGAGATCAGACCCTATTTGATAATCTAATCCAATAATTAAATTTAACGGATTCAAATCTTAATACGTTTAGACGCATTTAATAACAAAAAATCGAATATCTGAATTAATTAAGTGACATTAAATTTTCTTGCTCTAAAAATTAAATGATAATCTATTCATTTATTACTTAATATATATAATATACACTCAAATGTGTCAGATTTTGTCTAACATCCAAAAATGAAAGGAAGCTAAAATTGCACTATAGAGCACTCAAAATACGTGCAAGTATAGAACAAAACATGACACTTTGCATTGGTTACACACTAGAAGGAGATGCTATCTTAGTAATTCGGCTAATTTGGAGTAGTAGACATGAAAATCCTTCATGCAAGTGGCCTAATATTTAAGGATTTGCGTGCTGTGTTAAGGAGTAATATTGATGTCAATCAAGTTTCTTAAGATGCAAACAAAGTTGCGCATTAATTGGCACATTAGATGCAAATAGAGTTGTGTATTAATTGGGGCATTATACTAAAACAGCCAACTCTATTGACTCTCTATGGCATTCACCCCCAAACTTTGTTTATCAATTCGTGCTGATAGTATTTTTTTTTTCACTTATGGGTACTGTAGTGGGGCCCATACGCACGTCAGTTCAGTCTACACGCACGTTAGTTCGGCCCATGCGCGCGTTAGTTCGGACAGGAAGAACTGACTGACCTGGCAAGGCAGCTCAGACAGTCAGAGAGTAGTCCATGCGATTGCCGCCTCTCTAGTGGATGGACCTGGTGGGCCGCGACGCCCGAACTTGTCAGGTCCAACAAGCGGAGCCCTAGGGGGAGTTTTCCTCCACTAAGGACTCATTGTCCTATAAGAAAACTATCACCCAAGACTCTATAAATACAACACATTAGGAAGACACAAGGCACGCCATTCATAGTTCAATATACTATCCCTTTGACCTCAAACCTCTATTGACTTGATCGTCAGAGTTGCTCCGGGGAATTAGCCCCGCTGTTTGTCCATCTGCAGGTCGGTTCGGTCACCTCGCCAGCCCGCTAGCTCGCTCCCTATCAGCTCGCTCAGCAGGTCACAGCTCAGCTCGAATCTTATTTTTGGCAGTCGCATCAACTGGCGCCGTCTATGGGAAAGAATTACTCTCTTTTGCAAAAACATGCTGAAAACTAGATCCCAGAGGAACGTGAACGGATCTAAGGGGAACGAGCAGAGTGATCCACAACACCCCCGTCAAGATCCAATCTTGGAGAACGAGAGGATTGAGCTCTCGCGGATCCCGCCAGAGCAGCTGGTGCAATCGGTCGCGGCGAATCTGCCTACCTTCGAAGCCATTGTGAACTATCTGAAGGGACAATCCGGAGCCCATCCCGTTCAGGAACACAAGGCACGAAGGGCGAATAGAACGGGGCGGTCGGAATCTAGAACAGGGAGCCCTAGCCTCCGACCGAAGAGGGCACAAAAGGAGTTCACACGTGAGCAGGTCGAGGTTCTAGAGCCCTCCCAAAAGAACTTCTGAACTGATCACCCGGAGCCCATCCCAGGGCTCCCGCGGATGGAGTTCCCTCCCAGGAAAGAGGAATACCAGATGCAGGATCTGTTGCTGGATCCGGAGGTGGACAGGTACGCCGCCTCTCCCTTCGTACCGGATATCGAAGATTATCCGCTGCCCGCAAAGTTCAAAATACATTCCATGAAGTCCTATGATACGACCACGGACCCAGAAGATCACTTGTTCGCATTCCAGACACAGATGTGCTTGCAGACGTCTGCTGACGCAGTTAGGTTCAAGACCTTCCCGATGTTCCTGGAGGGGAAGGCCCGTCAGTGGTTCCAGAGATTGCCTCCCAGGTTAGTTCGGTCCTTCAGCCAACTCGCACGGCTGTTCGCAGCTCAGTTCGTGTCCTCACGAGCCTTTTCCAAAAGCACGGCTCATTTGATGACAGTTCACCAGGGGCCTGATGAGTCACTGCTCGAGTATATGGTGCGCTTCAACAACGAGTTCCTTCAGATTCGGGACCGAGACGACAAGGTGATCATGGCTGCCTTCGTCAATGGATTGCTTAAACAGAAGCTGTATAGAGAGTTCGTAAAGAGACCTCCCAAGTCCGTCCCGGATATGCTAGACCGAGCTCATGAGAAAGCCAATGCCGAAGAGGCCAACCGCTTGAAGGGCGCACAGGAAAGGTTGAGGGACGACAGACGCAGGAAAGGAGCCGAACTGGAGGAGGTGCGACCTGGTCAAGGACGGAAGAACACTTTCGAACGCCTGCCCCGGAGTCGACCCTTTGAGAAAGAAAAGGCCCGGACCTCGCTCACAGCGCCCAGAGCCCGGGTTCTCGCCGTGATAGAACAACAAGGCCTCTCTCGCCCCCCCGACCACTAGCTGGTGACAAAAGCCAGCGTGATCAGGGCTTGTATTGCGCTTACCATCGGGATGTAGGGCATAATACTGAGGACTGCCGTCACCTCAAGAAGGACATCGAAAAGCTGATCCGAAAAAGACACCTCGAGCTGTTCATCCGCGATGGACAGACCGACCAGAAGCCAGGGGGTACAAGCGAGAACGTGCGAGTAGCTTACGCGACCGATCTCGGGGCCCCCGAGACCGAACTCCCGAACAAGGGGTGTAGAACCTAGTTGGGGTGATCAACACTATTGCGGGAGGACCTGTCGGGGGAGATAGCCATACGGCTCAACGGAATAACCGACCTCCTCCCAGTGGGGAGAGTTCGAACAAACGTTTGAAGATGTATGAGGAGATTATCTATGGACCTGAGGATGCGGTACCACTTGTCTCTAATAATCATAAGGTCATTGTGATAGAGATCAAAATGTGCAATTACAAAGTAAAAAAGGTATACATAGATAATGGGAGTGCCATCGATGTACTGTATTACAAGACCTTCAAAGAGCTGCAACTGGAGGATAAGCAGCTCATCCCAGTCCGCACTCCCCTGATACGCTTCGCAGGTCCGCCAGTGAGTCCTGAGGGAATGGTAACCCTCATGGTCACGGTAGGGGAGTCTCCGAACTGTCCCGGTCAATTTTGCAGTGGTGAATGAGCCGTCCTCTTACAATATGATACTGGGACGACTAACCGTAAACGCATTCCGAGCCTTTTGCTCGACTTTACACTTTAGCATGAAATTTTTCACACCTGTAGGGGTAGTTGAGGTGTTAGGGTACCCAGAAGTAGTTAGGCCCTGCTACATTGTGACCCTCAAGGGCAAGGAGAAACTGGTAATTCAAACAGCCTATCTAGAGCCCTGGGAGCCTGCGGAGAAGGAGGAGACGCTAGAGACAGACGAGGGCCTGATCGAACTGCCCATCTGCCCGGAGCGGCCCGACCGCGTGGTCAAGACCGGCTCCTGCCTGAGCGAGTTGACGCGGAGGGCATTAAAATCTCTCCTAGAGGAATACGTCGAGATTTTCACGTGGAGTGCTGACGACATGCCCGGAATTCTGCCCGATCTGGCAGTTCATAAGTTACATGTAGACCCAAACGTCCGACTGGTGAAACAAAAGAAAAGAAACTTCGCTCCCGAACGAAATGAAGTCGTCAAGGAAGAGGTAGGCAAGCTCTTGGAGGCCAAAATCGTGAAGGAAATCTACTATCCGACCTGGCTGGTCAACCCTGTGCTGGTCAAAAAAGATGACAGGGCTTGGAGGATGTGCTTGGATTTCACCGACCTGAATAAAGCTTGCCCAAAGGATTGCTACCCGCTTCCCCGAATCAATCAGCTGGTGGATTCAACTACGGGATGCGAGATCTTTTGCTTTCTGGATGCCTTTAAGGGGTATCACCAGATAGCCCTGAATGAGGAGAACCAAGAGAAGATCTCGTTTATCACCGAATACGGCACATATTGTTATACCAACATGCCATTTGGGCTGAAGAACGCTGGCGCGATCGATCAGAGGTTAGTCAACAAGCTGTTCAAGAACCAGATCGACCGCAACATGGAGGTCTAGGTGGATGACATGTTGGTGAAAAGTCGAACTCAGGAGCAGTTCATCACCGATCTCCGAGAGATCTTTGACGTCCTTCGGAGCTCACGGATGCTGTTGAACCCCAAGAAGTGCACCTTCGGAGTTAGGTAGGGCAAGTTCCTTGGGTACATGATATCCAAGAACGGAGTGAGAGCTAACCCCGACAAGGTGAAAGCCATCATGGACATGCCTCCCTCCCGAAACATAAAGGAGGTCCAGCGATTAGCTGGCAGGATGGCGGCTTTAAACAAGTTCCTGTCGAAATCTGCAGTCTGGGGTTCCCCTTTCTTCAAAATCCTGAGAAGAGGTCCCCAATTCGAATGGACCTCTGAGTACCAGAAAGTATTCGACGAGCTGAAGGCTCATATTACTCAGTTGTCAGCCTTGACCTCCCCCGTACAAGGAGAGACCCTGTTTATATATCTAGCGGTGGGAGAAGAGGCAATCAGTGCAGTGCTAGTTCGGGAGGAGGACAAAGTCCAGAAGCCTATGTACTATGTCAGCCGAGCCCTGCAAGGAGCAGAGTCAAGATACATTGCGGTTGAACGGTATGTTCTAACGTTAGTTCACGCGGCCTGAAAGCTCAGGTTGTACTTTCAAATTCACCCCGTAATAGTGGTAACCGACCAGCCCCTGAAACAAATCCTCTCCAAACCCGATGTATCAGGAAGGATGGTGAAGTGGACTGTGGAGCTATCTGAGTACGATCTCGGCTATCAGTCCCGTACGGCCATCAAGGCCCAAGCATTAGCGGATTTTATAGCAGAAGGTGTCTCTTTCCGACTGCAGGAAGTCGAGGCCGAGCTGACCAGAGACACAGCTGACGTCGAACAGGCCGGAGAAGCTGCCGAGGTCACACAGGCCGAAAGAGCAGCCAAGGCTGAGCTGACCGAAACGCGGCTAAGGTCAAGCAGGCCGGAGAAATTGCCGAGGTCACACAGGCCATAAGGGCAGCCGAAGCCGAGCAGACCAGAGAAGCAGTCGAGACCAAATGGACCGAAGAAGTTGCGGAGGTCGGACAAGCCGGAGAGGCTGCAAGGCAGGCCATTTCGACCTAGACGTTGTTTGTGGATGATGCATTGAGTAAAGAAGGGTGTGGAGCTGGACTCCTCTTAACCAGCCCTACGAGGGAAGAACTAGCCTACGCCCTAAGGTTTGATTTCAGGGCCTCCAATAACGAGTCCGAATATGAAACCCTGATCGCGGGGATGGTGATAGCTCAAAAATTGGGGGCTGAGTCTATAAAGATCTACAGCAACTCGCAGCTGATAGTGAACCAAGTGTTGGGAAACTACGAAGTCAAAAAAGAACCACTGAAGAGGTACGTCGCCAAGGTGCAGGAACTAAGAACTCAGTTCAAACTATTCGCGCTCGAACATGTCCCGCGAAGCTGAAATAAGAGAGCGGATGCTCTGTCCAAACTAGCCTCCACCTCGTTGGGCACGCTGAATAAGGAGGTGCTGGTGGAGGTCGTCAGAGGTCGGGCATATGATCAGTTGGACGCGGCAATTATTCAAGTAATGGGCTTATGGATGGATCCCATTGTGCGGTACCTAGCCAATGGAGAGCTCCCCTCAAGTAGGGTAGTGGCACGCAGGATCCTCCTCAAGTCGCAGGGATATGTGCTCACGAATGGAGTGCTCTACAGGAAATCCTATCTACGTCCATGACTGAGGTGCGTAACTGCAGAGGAAGGGGACTACATCATGCGCGAGCTGCATGAGGGTCTCTGCGGAAACCACGTCGGCCCAAGGGTTTTGGCCAAAAAGGGAATGCTGTCTGGGTATTACTAGCCTACCATCTTCCTGGACTCGGCTGAACTGGTAGCACGGTGCAGGTCGTGCCAACTGCATGTCCCAGTTCATCACGCCCCAACACAGGAGATGGTCCCGCTTCAGAGCCTCTGGTCGTTCTTTCAATGGGGAGTCGACCTGCTGGGTCTGTTTCCCCGAGGTCCAGGAGGTTATGAATATGTGGTGGTGGCCGTTGACTACTTTACTAAATGGGTAGAGGCCGAACCACTCAACATCATCAGTAGCAGGGCGGTCCAGAAGTTTCTCTGGAGGAACATTGTTTGTCGGTTCGGCATACCTCGAGTCCTGGTCTCAAACAACGGTCGACAGTTTGCCGATAGTTCTCTTCAAAGTTGGTGCTCAGAGCTCGGGATCAGACAACACTTCACCTCGGTAGGTCACCCCCAAACCAATGATCAGGTAGAAAACGTCAATAGAACTATCCTGCACGGCTTGAAAACACGGATAGAGTCCGCTCGGGCTGGGTAGATCGACGAACTGCCTACCATACTATGGGCTTACCGAACTACTTCTCGAACTGCCACCCAGGAGACCCCCTTTGCCCTGACCTACGGGGCAGAGGCCCTGATTCCTGCGGAGATTGGTGTTCCCTCGGGCAGGGTTCAAAATTTCATAGCTCAGGACAACGAGGACCAACTACGGCTCAACTTGGATCTGCTCGAACAAAGGAGAGAAGAAACGGCTATACGTATGGCTAAGTATAAAGGACAGGTCGTACGACACTACAATGCTAGGGTGAGACACCTCTCCTTCAAACCAGGGGACCTAGTCTTGCGAAAGAATACCGTGAGTCGGATTCGGGGTATAGGCAAGTTGGATCCGAACTGGGAGGGCCCCTATGCGGTGAAGGAGGCAGACCGAGTTGGATACTGCAAGTTAGCACACCTTTGTGGAGAAGAAGTCCCGCGTTCTTGGCATAATTCCAACTTGAGGATCTTTCATTAAGAGTTCAGCTCGTGCAAGGCCTACGCTCCGACAGGAGGGAGGCCAGCTCATGCATGTCAGGTCGTTCACATATCTAGATTTTTATTAATGTCAATGTATTCAGTTAAGGATGAATTATCTCGCATAAGTTAAAAAGCCAGCTCGTGCTTACCGAAATCAATACCAGTTCGCACAAGTGTATTCTGATGTTATGGCAAGAAAGTTATGAATGAAAAATGCGGCTAAGTGTCAAGCAAAAGAAAAGTTTCATTCCATAAAAAAGAAATGTACAAGAGAGAGCCGAGCTCATACAAAAGTGAACTGTGATTAGACAGTTCGGATCTCTATCCTAGGATCCTACTCTAGTTTTCTCCCTCTTCCTCCTCCTGTTCGAATTCAGGAGTGGTCACCGGCAGCAGAGGATCGACAACCAGATCTGCCAGCTTCCGCCCGCGTGAATAGCCCTCCACCAGGCGGTCGACCTGTTCCACAGCACTGGGGTGTTCAGAATGGCCATGTCGCCCATGAAGTCATCCGATCTCAGGAAGGCCCGAACACCTTCCTGGCGTCCTTCAGTCCTGGCCGCTTCCACCTGGGCTGATAGCTCGGCGCCTCTTTGCTGCTCCTCCTTCAGCTGGGAGGTCAGCTCAGCGTTCTTCTTCAGCTCCAGCTCGAAGTTCGAGTGGACCTGCGCGAGTTGCCTTTTCAAGCCCTCAGCCTCAGCTGTAGCAGCTTCGTGCTGACTTAGCAGCTTTTCATTAGCTGCTCTCGTCTCGCTCATTAGTGGGAGCAGGCTCTCGTAGCGCCTATCCAGCTCGGGACCGACCACGTTCATCTGGCAAGTCGATTTCAGAGAACAGATCAGTCTTGAGAGAAGGTAACTTTGATCAACAAGAGCGAGCAAAGGAGTGACGAAACTGACCTGAGCTGCTCTCGTGTAATAATAGTCGAGGAGGTCGGGAGGATTCATGGTCTTGACCAGGTTGTAGTCCCACGGAAGGATGACCCAGTGCACGAGCTCCCGAACCACCTCCGGGAACTGAACTCGATCATTAATGGACAGCTTCCATTGAGGACAGAAGTGCATGGGGTGCTGATATGTGACCAGCCGAGTCTGGGGGTCGAAGAGCAAGGTGCTCTGGTGCTGCTACAGATTAAGAGGAGCCTCAGCTAGGGCCTACTCCTCGGGGGTGTTGACGCCATAGTGACCGGCCTGGGCAGGGTTAGGCGTCGGCCCCTCCTCCCGAGCTGGGGACGAGATCGTCTCCACCTTGACTCTCTTATCAGTGGTCTTCTTCTTCTTCTTCTTCCCAGGCTCAGCAGCTTTGGAGGACTTAGCAGAGACTGGTTGAACTGGCGGGACAGGTGCTGAGCTGGCCGGGATTGTCGAGGGAGCTTGAGTGGGTGCGCTCGAGCTGTCGGTGCCCCCGATAGTCAAGAGAGCTGCGAAAACCTCTTCACTGCAAAAAAACAAAGCCCAAGCAGTTAGCAATCACACGAGCTGGAACCCTAGCTCCAGCAAACAAAAAACAAGGACAAGAAGATTACAGGTGGCCAGCTCGTCCGGGAAAAGAGCTGTACTTTCGGGGGACAGATCTGAGGAATTAGCTCGGATCAGTCCAGCCGCCCAGAATTGGGCCTCATGTCCGAGCTGAGTAGGCGAGTGAGTTCGGACACAAGGAGCGGGGAAGGAATGAGATCAGAAACTTGAGTCTCCGCTCTCCAAGTCGGGGGAGGAAGGCCTAGGTTTTTCACATAAAAGAACTGGGGCTTCCAGTCCTTGATAGAGGAAGGCACCCCCGCGAATAGTTCGAGGGTAGGGATTTTTGCTCCGCTCCTACGAGCGAAGTAGAACCACCCGGGCACTTTGCCGCTAATCTTCATTTGGAAGAAAGCTCGAAACAAATCAAGTGAAAAGGGGATCTCGAGCACGCGGCAAAGAATGAAAAAACCTATGATGGAACGAACAGCATTTGGGATGAGTTGGGTTATGCGGATGCCCCAGAAAGTGAGGATCTCGAAAAGGAAATTGGGGATAGGAAGGCGAAGGCCGGCCATCAGCTGGTCCCTGTAGATCACCACGAATCCGGGAGGAGGTCGACTAGCAACCTCTCCAGGTCGGGCGGCCCTGGGTTCGAACTGGGCAGGGATATCATACTTCTCTGCCAGTTCGTCGACATCTTTCTGCTCCAGGGCTGGGGGAATAGTGTCGACCTCGCCGAAGTCGCCACCAGGTCCCCGCTACTGTTTGATCTGGAGCTGCTCGTTCAACAGCTCCGACAGGGGGCTCATTGGGTTGCTCGGACAAACTCATTATTCTAGCAGGAGACAGAATGGGGGAAGGTATGAACTCTGACCCGGATGAACTAGAAGAAGAAGAGGAACTAGATGAGGTAGAAGAGCTGATATCTACAAGTATGGGGCGAGCTACCCAACGCCTAGGGGCTGAACTGGTAACGTCAGAGCGTTCAGAGGAAGAAGAAGACATAAAAAGGGAAAGGGAACTTACTGGTGAAAGGAGGAGGTCGGATGAAAGACTGATCTAAGGAGTGCGCGAACTGACCCTGGGCTCTTAAAGTAAGACGAGCGGACGGACTCTCGAAAGAAAGGAGAATGAAGAAACGAACTGGAAAGCAAGGAGGCGAATTGATGAAGCGAAAGAAGGGGAGTGAAAGTGACGCCTGGGGGGCCTATTTATAGGCAACCCTCAGGGTGGGAAAGCGAAGGGGCGCACATTTATTTTCGAATTTATATCGGGAACTGTCATTATGAGTCGAGGTGACGGTTGAGGTAATGGGTATATGAACCGACGCGACGGTTACTCGGGTGGATGCCAGACGGGGGCCCCACGCCAAACTGACACGATGCCTTCAAATTCGGCCTAGACTCATGCGACTACTCGATGACCCTAGACTAAAGGGGGGGCTAGTGTAGTGGGGCCCATACGCACGTCAGTTCGGTCCACACACACGTCAATTCGGTCCACACGCACGTTAGTTCGGCCCATACGCGCATCAGTTCGGACAGGAAGAACTGACTGACCTGGCAGGGCAGCTCGGACAATCAGAGGGTAGTCCATGTGATTGCCGCCTCTAGAGTGGATGGGCCTGGTGGGCCGCGACGCCCGAACTTGTCGGGTCCAACAAGCGGAGCCCTAGGGGGAGTTTTCCTCCGCTAAGGACTCATTGTCCTATAAGGAAACTATCACTCAGGACTCTATAAATACAACACATTGGGAAGACACAAGGTACGCCATTCATAGTTCAATATACTATCCCTTTGACCTCAAACCTCTACTGACTTAATCGTCGGAGTTGCTCCGGGGAACTAGCCCCACTGTTTGTCCATCTGCAGGTCGGTTCGGTCACCTCGCCAGCCCGCCAACTCGCTCAGCAGGTCACAGCTCAACTCGGATCTTGTTTTTGGCAATCGCATCAGGTATCGTAGCTTTTTGGCCAAACTAATCCCTTAAGGTTATATATAGAGTCTTGACCAAGAATATACTGCAAAGTAGCACATAGGGTTCAATTACGGGATCTACTGATAACTACCAGGCTACGGAACCGATTGGACTACCCGCAGTGGGTAATAAATCTAGTAATAAAGGTTTGGTTTTTCTAATGGGTGACTAAAGGTACTCATTAACACATCTAATATTCATCTAACCTATCATATATATGAACATACTAATAATTATTATTCTCTTTTGTATTTATATATTTTTCCTATCCTATTTAATTTTACCCTTCCTCCCTTGTATTTATTTGCTTTTTCTAATTAAACTTATATTTTTATAAATATAAGATCTAAAAGATATCTTAATGAGTGCCATGTGAGCACTCGATGTTAGGCAAATCGATAAAAATTTTCTTTCTATAAAAAAATAAATAAATATAAGTAGCCCATTTAAGCATACCACGGCACATTTATACTTTTTAGAAATTAAAACACAGGCCCAAGCCTGCGTCCTATATGCAGAAAGCCCAAAATTGATGCGTCATTGACGAAATATACAGTATTGCTTCACGAAACCTCTTCTTCCCTTTTGCCTTTTCAGTGCATAGGGTTTTAGCATTTTGAGCTATCATTCTCTCTCGCTCACTGCGTGTTTTTGAGTGTGTGTAGTGTGTGTCCTTTTTCTTTTCTTTCTTGAATTATTGAATTTTTATTATCAAAATGACTAAATTCCGAAAGCTTAATCGACCAACTGGTCATCGAATGTCCCTGCTCAGGTTTGAGCTTTCATGCTCTTGTTTACAATTAGATTCTTTTTTTGATTTATATTGTAAAACGATTTATTGTATTTTTTATTTTGTTGTTGATTATGGGCAGAACCATGGTGTCCCAATTGGTAAAGCATGAGCGTATTGAAACCACTGTCGCAAAGGTAGGAATTTTTCTCCTTTTTATTTATTTTCTGTCTTCCAATTTTAGGCCCCATTTTTTTATTCCATTTCGTTATGGGTGTTTTTTTTCCCCCTTTTCTGAGGTTATATTTCTGATAGGTTTTGTCGAAAATGGTTGTTTGTTATTTAACAAAATTAATTGTATAAATGATTGATCAAAATGTGCATTTTCTTGGTGTTGATTACGCTTAGCCTAAGATGGATTGAGAGTAGATGTTTTCTTGGAACTGTTTATGTGGGGTCTTTTTAATTAAAGCCATTTTTTATCTCAGAATCTGGATTAGCGTTGTCATGTTCAAGAAAATGATGTTATGTTAAAAATTCCAAGCAAATGCAAGCCTTTTTCAGAAAGATTATGATTATTTTTTGTATTTTTCAGAACTGGAGTATTGTTATTAGGTTTCAGTAACTTGAATATGTGATTTATTTAAAAGATTGTAGCAGATCTCAGATACTGAATTGGGATTAATGTAGTTGGCTGGGTAGTTTTGCAGAACTGCTAGACATTGTTGTGTGCTAAATTTCTTTTAATTTGATTGAATTATAGGCTAAGGAAGTTCGGAGGCTTGCTGACAACATGGTACAGCTCGGAAAAGAGGTGGGTTTATTTGTTATTTTTTTAATGTAAAATTTTGTAACTATAAGTACAGTAAGGTAATATCTCGAGTAGGCCGATCATTGACAGTTGCTTTCTGGATGAATTTGGCTCATGATGATTCAGAAGTAAAGTGAATTGCTCTCACTTGATTAAATGCAATTTTTATGATGATTTTAGAGTATGAGAAAGTTTAGAATAAAGGAAAATGAAGATGGAGATGGGCAGTAGTATAATAAATGCTACTCTTTTGTAATGGGTCATTTATTGCATTCTTGATTGCTAATGTTATCTGTTGCCATAGTTCAATTTGTATCATGGTGCTATATTCCACTCTGTGTTCCAATTTCTTCATCTTTTGCCTTGTCATTTTGAAATGTGGATTTTCTATTGTGGGTTATCATCAACCCTTCTCTAAGATAACTTAGTATTCTTTTCTTGATTTTACTTTTGCTTCACTCTTTACAATATTAATACGTTTGAAAGATTTTTATTTTTTTGATCAGGTTTGTCTGAAAGTTGTTTTTTTATTTATGTATTTCTTTGAAAAATATACTCCAGGTTTTTTACTTTCTTTTTTAGTACCAGAAAGTATCCTGTCTGCTCTCTGTAAATTAAATTGTAAATATGGTTATAGGTGGTATTTTCCTGTCATACTCATGTACTGTGGATGAATTCCTGAAGGTACTGTTCGACCCTCTTGTAGCATGTTACCTTCTTTAGAATGAGAATTACCAAATGAGATCCTGGGACCTATGCTCTTCCTTGGTGATTACATTAAAGGTCAAGTGAGCATGCTATGGCCTGATTAGGAACGCATATTGAAATGAGTGTACTGGTCTCTTGTTGATGCTCCTTGCTTTGTGTTTGTGCAAGTGAAAGTAACAGTTATGCTATTTTTCAATGCTAGATAGTCCAAAAGGTTTTTTGGAAAACTCTTGCTTTAGGTTCTTGATTGGATTTAGTTACATAGACAAATAAAGTTCAGCAGTGTTAAGAGTGAGCAAAGGAAAAGATTATTATGCAATTGATGGCCTGGATAGTGCAGGCAATTTGGAGAAAAAAGGATTATTGAATATTCTACAACTGAATCATGCTTGTACTGCTGCTTTGTGCTCCCGTTTCCCTCCTCTTCTCTTTCAGCTTTGGCTTTCTAGGTTTAGATGGACATTGTCTTAGTGAATAAGCAATGTGATATCAATTTGGAAGGGGCCAAATCCACACCCTAAGTGCCAACAGGACAGTAAAGCCTGTAGCATTTAATATTGTAACTTCTTTCTAGAATCTGAAGTTATCCTTTCACACAACAATAACAAACTGCCTTCATAACACTCTTCTTTCAGCTATCTCTTACCATTCTTTTAAAGACATTCTATGTTTTTTCCTAATACTGACACTGCATAAAGCATTTGCTGTAAATTTATCAGAGTGAGAAAGTTTTTTCTCATGAATTAACAACACAAATTTCATCCTTAATGCTTGGAAACAAAGAAGGATCAATTATAGATCCGTGACAATTTGTGTCCTATATGCAGGGAAATTTACTGATATCAAATAAATATTAGAAATTAGGAGACCGTATAACTGGAAAACATTTGCATGATTATAGATTGGAATTAAAAGTTAAAAGAATTGGACAAGGCAAATTATTATTATTTTATGAAAGCATAAATTTATAGTTGCAAAAAGGTGCGAAGGAAACCATTAACCGTTGAGGGCTTCAAGGTCCTATTGGTATTTAGGGTGTGGATATAGGATGATAGGGTGTGTATTGAGTCCCTCCCTATCAATTTTCTGTTCAATTTACTCCAGACTCCTGTTATTCTATTTTTCTCATCTTTTGAAACAACTTTGAAATCCTTTGGATTTGACTGAATTGGCTGCTTTTCATCTAGTTGAAGTTCATGAAATAGTGTGCCCAAAGAAGTCTTTGTCCTTGCCCTCATTTGAAGCCCACCTTAGTGTTAACTGCAAGTTTCACAGAAGCAAATGAGATATGGAAGTGTAGTCCCTTGAAAATGGTCCTCAATCTGTCTGTTGAATTTTGGTGCTGCATGAAATTTCAGTTTGACCTAGCAATTTGTAAATTTTGTTGGTTTTTCAGAAAATAGTTGAAAATTGATCTTAACTACTGTTGTTTATGTTTGGAATAAACCAAGGTAGTATATTTTTGGCTGGAACTATTCTTGCTTTTTTTATTTGCTTACTTTAAAAGGGGAGTTGAAGCTCTAAGGTACTATGTGATGGTTGACGAAATATACTATTCCGTTTTCTGTTTCCATGGCAATTTCATATTTAAATTGGAAAAGATCT